TGATAAGACACACAAGGAAAAGAGGAGAGGAAAATGTGAGAGGATTAGAGTGCTTCAGAGGTCAGCAAAAGGACCAGAAATACAATTTGTCACTTGATGTTCAGACATGAAATGACTGTGGATGCTGTGTGAAGGGTGTGTGTCTAATTGTATTTATTTTAGTTGTTTTTTCTTGCTGCTGGGAAGTCAGCTGGTCCTTCCTGAGGACAAGGCCCAAATGCAAAGCCTGGGGAACAGCAGCTGCCTCAGGTCCTGGGGAGCTGGTGGCAGGATGTTGAACCACCAGGCAAGAAAGACATGTGGCTTGGTGTGCTGGTCAGGGATACCTGTTGTTTGCAGAGGGTTTTGGGCAGGTGTTTTGGGAAGGAGTTTTCCCAGGGTTGTGCTGCAATCCTGTTTCCCATGCTGGTGTGATGGATGTGGCTCCTGCAGGCATGCCTGGTGTCCTCTTTGGCCTTGGCATGCATGTTCTATGTTGACTGGCTGATCTGACCCTGTAAACCTCTGAGCAGGTCTCCCAAAATACAGCTGCTTTTTCTTTGCTTTGGTGGGTTTCCCACTCCTGGGTGGGGAAATGCAACAGTTGATGCTTTCCTTGCAGGGCTGGGGAAGGGCATCCCCAGCTTCACAGTGCAATGAGCAGGCTCCAAGCTGATGTATAACACAGGTGGTTGAACGGCCAAAGAGGTGTCCCCAGGTTGTCTGAGAAGGTTTTAGGTTGCCACTAGATGTCCTTTCAGCTCTGCTTTCTCCCATTGCTCCTCCAGAGCAGTCCTCTGGCCTGTGAGTTGCTGGCCATGGCCCAAGAGCTGCCTGACACCAAAGTGCTGCAGGGTCAACTAGAGGAAGGACTGGGGTGAACCCTGGGCTCTGGGGCCTTCCAAACATCCCTTTGATCTCTCACAGCTTTGTCCCACATAGTGCTGGCTCATAGAAATGAGGATGTTTTGGAAAGCACCCAAAATCAAGCTTCTGGATCTGTGCTGGGTATTTTAATACCTCTAGTATGAATCAGGGACTGTTGCTGCCTGGGTGGGACCACTGGTTCATAGAAGTAATGGTCCAAGGAGGCAGCACTGGCAAGTAAAAAGGATGATATCTGGTATGAAACTGACATAGGAATCATGATGACCAAATGATGGCACAGTTTTGTGCAGATTTTTAGTTTCCTCTCCCTGAACTAACAGAGGCAGTCTGTAGAGCTGGAGGGCCCATCTTTCTGGAGGTATGTGGTGTTGGGAAACACAAATGTTCTGGGGTTTTCCAGGTTGCCTGGATGCCCAGAACTTGGCAAAAAAGATTTCTGTAAGGCTTGTGTTTGATATTTGTAAGCACCAAAAATCACTGATGGTATCCGGAGCTCAGTGCTTGCAAAGGCAGTGGCAGCCCCAGTGGTTCTCCTGGGGTGGGTGATCTTGGGTGAAGGAACTGAAGGAAATCTGCTTTGGGGCACTTGATAGGAAACATGTTTCCAAGAATAGCTGGGGGCTGAGGGGGTGCAGCCTTTCAAGGCAAACTGAGCACCTTCCAGGGAGCACTTGGCTCTTTGTGATTTGTGATCAGAGGCAAATGGGTGAATTGCAGCCACAGGAGGTTTCTGATGGGGCAAACACAGGGCTGGTGAGACTGCAAATGGTGATCCTCAAAAATACCCACCTCAGGGAGCATTTCTGTTGCTGCAACACTGCCTTCAGCTTCCCACCTGGGGCTGGGGGGTGACCAGTGCAAACCCCCAGCCCCCTCTGATGACTTTACCATCAAGCCCCACTTTTGATGACACAGTCCTGATGAGACCCTGTTAGTGTGAGGCCTTCTCTTTCCCCCCATGGATGTGGTCAGGAAAGGTCCCCATGCCTGTAGCAATCTGTTATAGCCTTGTGCCTTGATTTAGTGACCCTGGGGGAGCTGGGGTACAACAGGCAGCTGGATCTGCTGAGAGCACCATGCTGTCTGGCACAGGCCACTGAGCAGCTATTGCTGCTTAATAAACTTCTTGGCCATTGCTGACCTAGACCATATATGAGCAAGTGAAAGGCAAGTGGTGAAAGAATCTGTATAATATTACTAATCCCACGTAGCACTCTCACTGAAAAGGCAAGGCAGGTCTCCCTGCTATTGTGTCCTTTCACTGCAGCTGTGTGGTTCACCCATGTGCTTTTATTAAAATCAAATCTGGTCATGCTGTTCCTGCAGGGATGCAGCCTGTGGGTGCCCAATGGCTCAGGGAGAGAGGGGGGGGAGGCAGGGCTTGGAGGTCTTGTGCACAGGGCTTGGTGCTCTGTCTCTGCTCCTGGCTGCAGTTTGCTGGGGAGAAGCTTTCCAGGCTGGATGGGGGGGCCAAGCTATTGCCAGCTGCCCTCTTTGGGAACTCTGTGGAGGTTTGACATCCTTGTGATGTAGCATCAGTTCTTGAGTACAGGAGTTATAGGGTCTGCTCGTGCTGCTTCTCCACCCCAGGATGGAGTAGGGTCCTGGCTTATCATGCAAACATTCAGGCTCTTGGGAAGGTAAACTGGTAACTGGTGAGCAGCTGGGGCTGGCTGGTGCATGTTCAGGTCATACTTGAGCTTAAATTTTCAATCCCAAAGCACAAAGGTGTGATCTGTATATTAGTGAGGTTGGACTGAATGTCTTCTCTGGCTGTGCATCCACAAGCTGCTGGGAAAAACCAAGGCAAACATCCAGGTTGCTGCTGAATTGTGTATGTTTGTAACAAATTTTCTTCATTGCCAAAAGATTGAATATCTTGTGAGTGGCAGTTACCTTCTGACCTGGTGTGTCTCTTTACAGCTGCAGGATCAGGGATGGCAAAGGATGCTCCTGGGAGCGGAACAAACCTGCCTGGAGTTGTGGTTTAACAGGCTTGGGAAAAGCAGCTCGGAGGGACAGTTTTTTCTTTTTATGGTTTCAATTCCTGTTCCCAAGGGGTGTTTGGTTGGAAGAAGAGATTCAGGTTAAAGGGAACACATGGATCAAACCAAACAGTTCTTTTTCTTTAATCACCTACTATAGCAAGTAGGAAAAAGATTATAATTGGTTTCCTTTGTACTCAGTTTTAGCTGGAGATTTTGGTCTGGCAGATGAGAGTTGCTTGTGCAGGCTCTGCACTGTGAGGTGTGAGTCAGAGGACTGTCTGGGCAACTGGAGCTGTGCCCAGTGTTCCCCATGGAGCCTTAACCACCTCTTGTGCAACCATATCCATACTTTTCCAGGAAATACATTGCCCAGTAGTAATAGGCATCAACTTTTTCTTGAAGTCCGTTGCTGTGTTGAAATCGAGGCTCCTCCAGGAGAAACTACTGGTTTTGTTGAAATGTGACTCAAGGAAGGAGAGGAGCAACTTGTCCCACAGGTCTGGCTTTGCCTGGAGATTGGGATCAGATGCTCAGCCTGAAGCAGGGCCTTGTGGTCCATATCCCCAGGGGTTTAATTTCTTAAATAAACCGAGATCTTTCTCAAACCTTTCACTAACATGCAGCTCAGAGCTCCATCCTTCTACAGAACAGGAAAATGTTTTGAAATCAATCAGCTCCTTCTCCTTTGCCTCTTTCTGTCAGGTTATTACCACAATAAATACATTCAGGGAACATCAGGAGGTTTTCATGTGTTTCAACTCTTGCTGGTTTTACCCTTCCTATCTGTTGCTTTCCTTTCTAGCAGTGTAGGATCCTTTTTGGGTGCAAAATCCCTCTTTGCTTACAGGTCTTGTTGCCTGAATTTTGTTGTACAACCTTTCGTGATCAAACCAAGCTCTTCTCTAAATCCCTGCATTCTACTTGTTTTGTATGGATCCAGAGTATTTGATTTGCATTATTGGACATAACACTAGACCAGGGCTATGGGCACATGGCATTGCCCTTCTCTATGTAACGAGATCCCTCAGCATTTGGGTAAAGACCAAATCCTAAAATGAAGAAGAGAAGTAAATAGGACTGGAAAAATGTTTACAAATGCCAGTGTCAACAAGATGCCATATTTTTAAATCAGCATCTCTGAGGTTGTTTTTTTTCCTGAAACCAATTCACCCATCAAAAAAAAGTGAAGTTAGAAGTGGCTGGAATTTCCTGAGGGCTTAAAGAAATTTAAGAGCAATAGACAGCTTTTTTTAAATATATTTTTTTATTACTTTTTTCATTTGTCTTAGAAATATGAAATTTGCATGCAACCTTCTAAATATTTCCAACATTTAAATAGCATACGATAATTTAGCAGTACAGTACATTATACAGGAGGATAATGGAGGGAGATTTCCTATAGTGTATTTACAAATGAAAAGGTAGTTGTGTTATTTTAAAAAGAGGAATGCACTGCTTAACATGGAAGTATTACATTCAAAATAATGAATATGTTGTATTGTGACTAAAACATAGATAGGTATTTATATGTTTGCCCTATCATATTTTTCATAAAAAGGTACCTTTTAAAGGCTTTTTGTTGTTGCTACAAATCTAGGAAATCGTACACAATCGTCTTGAAGCTTAAAATGTCTCAGTACTGAAGCCACAGACTTTCTGTAAGAACTGAGAAGAAAAAAAAGAAACCCAAACATTTTTTAGTAATAAAAATGACATAGAAATGCTTTCTAATGCATGGAACGTGACATGGGAGATGTGGGATGCTTTGCCTTGCAGCAAGACCTCAAGTACAAGAGGTATACAAGTGATCTTCTTGCTCATCTGACGAGCTGAGGGACCTCCCTTCTGCAGTTACAGCCCCCACATTTTGGTGGCATCATCCCCAGCAGACCAGTGTTTGCTCCCAGCTTTGCCCAACTACAGTGGAGGCTGTAACCATGAGCAACAACCACGGCACCAAAGGTTTCCCACTGCCAAGGGGTGAGGGACAGGGCTGTAGAAGACCTTCCCAACCATTCCTGTCTAATGAGCTTATAAAGCTCAATTGCAATCATAGTGAAGTATGAATGAATAACAATCAAAAATAAAAAAAACCCAACAAACTTAAAAAACTTCTTTAAAATGAAAAGCATGAGGTTTTTTTCCCCCTAATCTCAGAGCAGACGGGTGTGATGTCTGATGTGCAACAGATGCTTGTGAAATCTGGAAGCCTTTTGCACGTCGCTATAAAATGTAAAAACTGACCCTTGGTAAAAAGTGCTTTATAATAATATAGATTTTGTGTCTGTGTGAGAGAAATAATCTTATGCAGAGCCCAGTCCTATGCCAGCCAAGGGAGTCTGCTCCATTCCTCACGCTGCTTCCTTTTATTCTTCATAAACCCTAAACAGAAGGAAAGCCAAGAGCAAGATGTTGAAATGAGGAATGAAACAGCTCCATTCCAAAGAAAAGAATAATAAAATAATAATGAAAAAATTAAGCCCTCTTACAAATAGCAAACCCAAACCAAACCAGAAACAATTTTTTTTAGCCTTTGCTTAAGTAAATTGAGAAGTAAGTTCTTGATTTCAGCAGTCACTGGATTGTTATCCATAAAGCATCTGGGAGGGGGGCTGGACTTTGACCCCTCTGCTTCTTGTAGTCATGTGGTGAGTTACATGCTCTGCCACGATTATCAGGATGCATAAGATGAAGAAATCCACCTCTGCTTGTACACTTAAATCACTGGAAAATCCCTGTGTCCTATACAAATGTTGAAGCACGTTGTGAGCTGCATGTAGATTCACAATGCTTGCTATTTTGGGAATAATATTAGACTTCATGTTGTTTTTCTAATTTATACCCTGGCTGGATTGTGGGAGAAGCCTTGAGCTGGCCCTCATTTTTGGGCCACAGGAGACCATGAGCAGTGCAGGCAGGAGTTTGTCTGAAGCACAGGGACCCTGTTACCTGCTCGGGGCACCCATTTCTCAGGGGAACCCTGCACATTTTTTTACTGGACACAAAAGCCTGGAGCTGAGCGTCCTTTGTCATCTTAATGATGGCATTTTTAAAAAGAACAAAGGAAAAAGAGGGGAAGAGTGTAAATCTGTGGTTATGCAAGAGCTGGGGCTTCCCATGGGCTCTGTTTGTGAAGCAGCAGCCAGGAGCTGGCAGGGAGGTGAGGAGCTGGCTGGGGGGACATTGCCCCTGCCAGAAGGGCTCACTGGCACCCCTGGACCTGCTGAGAGATGGAGCTTGCTGCCCCCATTTGAGCTCCACTTTGAGGAGCAAATTCCCCATCAGTTGAGGAGGATGAGGGGTTGGTGGAACTCCATTGCACATGGAGGGTGTTTCTTGGTCATGGCTGGAGAAGCAGTAGAAACTGTGCAGTTCTCCTTAATTACAGATACATCCATCAGTTATCAGGAGTTCATGTTTCTCACTTTCTCTCTTCAATCTCTAACTGGCTTGTAAAAAACCCCCCAAACCTCTTTGCAAGGGAGAAGGTGACAGAGCATCTGACCAGCCAGTTACTGTTTTGTTGTTGTTTTGTTTTTTTTCTGGGAATGATGCAGTAGTTAAAATTGGCAAAGATCTGTGTCACCAGGAGTTGAAGATTTCTGAGGTGGTGTGATTCCAGGGTGACAGGGCACCCTCTTCCCAGCTCTGCTGACTGCTTTCCTTGTGACTGTGAGGAAGTAATTTAGCTTTTCATCTTGACTCTTTACCCATTGAAGGGAGGCAAGTGTGTGTAAATAACTGAGAACATCAGCTGATGAACAGTTTAACAGAAAATAACTACTATTTATAGTCAGAACAGCCTAATACTAAAATATAAGTGAGGACTGCATGTGGCAGGAAAGAAGTAACATCCAGAACATGTATTTCATTACCAAAAACATGGTTATAAATTAACCCTCCATTCTGAAAGGAGCCTTTGCAGTGTGTGCATTTTCCTGGGCTCTCCCTGAATGCTGCTGATTGCCCAACTTGCCACCAAGATTTTCCCCTCCCCCCCATTCCAGCAAATTGCTACTCACCTGCCTTTCTCTTTCCATATTTTGTACCACTTGAGCAGCCTCACCGTGTTCTGGCGCTTGGGGTTCAGGCAGTGCTGCTGCTCCCCTCGCACCCGCGTCCACAGGGTCACGCTGCAAGGCAGGAGAAAATGGGTGCTGAGGGTGAGGGGAACCCCCTCCCCTGCTCCCACTCCAGGCAAGTGCCCAAAGCCATCAGGGAGGTCTCACCCAGGTGGGCAGGGGAAGTATTTTTAGTGGTTTAGGGTGGGTATTTGAGTTTGCTGTGATACCGGAGCAGGTCTTCAGCTGTTACCCATCAGTGCAGTGTTGCCCACTGTTATCCTAGGCTGGACCAGATGGAGACCTACCTGCTGTTTTTAATAATTGGGTTTGCTCTTCCTGTCTGTTGGAGATTTTATTTTAAGCTTAATAGCTGATTTAATTAGGGTTCGCTCAGGCAACCACAAGGTCTTTGCATGAGGAAATGGTTCCCTTACACTCAACACTGCGGTGTCCAAGAGAAGATCAGACCTGGTTCATTAAGTATTTTTTCCCCTCTATTTTCAGCCCACAGTATTTTAAATACTTGCACATGGCAGGGTGTCTGTGTGCCCAGCAGGCCAGCTCTGAGCCCCAGGCAGGCAGTCCTGGGGGCTTCAGCCTTCTCTGATCATAGGCTGATCCCTCTCTCCTTGCCAGCAGCAGTGGTTTGGTGTCCTTTGTTGTCAGGACAAGCTGTGCTGGGAGGAAAAGTGTGGCAAAAATCTTCCCATCATTTTAGGTTTCTTCCTAGGGAGCTTAGTGAAGCCCTTACTGGTTGGTCTGCCACAACCCAGGTGACACAGGAGATCCCAAGCTGCTTCCCAAGAGGATGCCTTTCCAGAAATGCCAAGACTGCTTTCACAATTTTTTCTTCATGTTGTGATTTTAAAAAACCCCACAACAACACTATTTTTTATTGGAATGACTAACTTTCTGGAAATACCATCCATAACAGGGAAAGACAGTTTTTGCCTTAACTAAAATATTATAATGGAATCATTTAAACACTGATAGAGACAGGAATAAAATAATGGCATAAACCCAGAAATATCTGTGCAATACTGATGGACCTATTTTGTGAATTGGTTCAGAAAAGAGCTGTTTTTCTTGTGTTAGAAGATAAAGTCCCTTGTAAACTTTCTCAGCTCACCCACCCAGTGCAGAGGGGATGTGCCTCACTGGAAGTGAAGCTGCCTGCAGGAGCTTGCTGAGGGTCTTGCCACATTTCCTATTTCAGTGTTTTCCAAGGTGCTCCAATAGCTCTTTCCATTCAATTAACCTTCTTTTCTGCTCCCCTTCCATCAGGTGTGAGCTGAAGTCACCAAAAGATTAGGTGTGATTTTCCCAGGTTGTTTTCTGGGAAGCAGTGGAAAGCCACCAAGAGTTGTTGGCCTGGGCCAACCCCTCTGGGTATCAGCATGTTTCTGAGATGGGGAGTTTTCCTCCAGCTTTGGGAGTGGAACTAAACTTTCACTGAAGGCACAAGATGTGCAAATGTTAGGGCACTCGAGGTCACAATGAAGTTTCTCCATCCAGCAGCCACCATCTTGGCAGTGCCATCTGTGCTGGTTGATGCCAGACCTAGGCTTGGGTTTCTTCTCTGATGGATCAGAGAAAGTATTTCCAGAAAGTGATGGACAAGTTGAATCACAGGAGCACCTCTGAAAAGCAGCAGGTTTTAAATTTGCAACAGGAGTGGAGGAGGACTGTTGTGGATTTACCAGAGCCTGTGACCTGAGGATGAGGAGATGCATGGTTTGCTTCTCAGGTGAACAACCAGAGCCCTTCTCAGGCTGAGACGTGTTGCTTTGACATCACACGTAGGTTTTCTGCTTTGATGCTGGAGGCTGGACAGCAGAGGAGATGTTGCCAAGGCCACCCCATGGTCCCCAGTGGTTCCTGTGCAGTCCCTGGTGCTGGGGGCACAGGGTTAGGTGGCAGCAGTTTTGGGCACCCTGAGCTGACCTGGCCCTGCTCTTGGGGATGCTGGTCCAGCAGATGTAAGGGCACGTGCCTAACAAGAGCCACTGAGAGAGCCAATATCCTGAGCAAGGAGTTGTCTGGATGGGCTGCAAGAACTGGATGAGAGGGTTGGAGAAGGAAGAGAAGCACCAGAACTTACACCTCCAGTGCAGTTCGGGACATGAGGTCACTCCAGGGCATGCACAGCCCTTAGTTGCCTAGGGCTTGGGGGCTGCAGCCTTCATCTGGGGTGTCTGAGGGTCCCAGTGCTAAAATCATCCAAGTACATCCCTATCTCCAGGGCTGGGATCAGCACACTTGGGTCAGTCTGTGACACCCCAGCACCTTGTGCCTCTGCTCGCCTCATCTGCAGGGATGGTGGGGCTGTACCTTTGCCTGCAAACACCCTGTCCCCAGGGTCAGCAGGGTCCTGGCTCTGCTCCCTTGGCCCTGAGCCTGTGCAGGGACTGCCATCCTCCTCAGCTGGCCCTTGAGAAAGGCTGCCAGGGGTGCCCATTTCCCATGGGCTGCTCTCACCCTATCGTGTTCCCCCATTTCGGGTGGGGCAATACATGGAGGTGAGTTGGATCCTTTTAGGAAAGAAGAGTTAAATCTCCTTCCTATTTTCTGCTGTTTTTCCTCATTCTAGGATACAGCTACACACACAACTGCTGCTAGATGTTCTGTGAACCTTGACAGGTTTTGACTAGACTGAGGACTCCGTTTAGTTGCCTCTTACCCTGCATCACAGCTCTGCAGGGGGGGTTATGGCCAAAGACAAATTCCTTCCTAAACAGCACCCTCATAACTACTTTTTCCTCTGCCAAACATAATTTATATCATGCTTTTCCCATACTAAAGACCTTTTGAGAAGGGCAGGATGGAAAGCAGCTTCAACAACTCATTTTAGATGATCACCGTAGCAACAAAAACTCAGTTGCAGGAATGTAGCTCTTCTGTGCCTCGTCCAGAGACTCCCAGATCTATTGGTTCTTGGAATATTAATTTCAGTTTCCTTTCAGTGCTGACCTCAGACTGCCTTAGGGTAGCTGGAAAAGCAGTAAGGGTGGCGGGTGAGCCCTGCCTGCCCCGTGGGCAGTGATGGGACAGCTCTGTCCCTGCAGCTGCTGCAAACCCAGGGCAACCCTCTGGGCTTGGAAAGCATCACTCAGCATAGCTATCCAGCTGGGAAAGCAACCTGCTCCTGCACTGCCTTCCAGCTTTCCTGACTTTCTGATTGAAAGTGAAATGTGGCATTAATGAGATTTATTTTATACCCCTCCCGGCCACCAGCTGCTCTCAGGCTAATGCCTGGAGTGGGATGTGAAGAGTTAGTGCTCTTCTGCACCATCCTTTTGCTGTTGAAAGGTCAAAGTAAACAAAGTGAAGCTGCAAGGAACCGATTCAGGCAGTGGTGGTCTGCAGGGGTTTTTCTGTTCAGGTCATCATCAGCTGGTTTGGGATTCAAAGAGGTGGGTCTGATGTTCGTTGCTTGCTGTGATGCTGGTGTAAATCTGGAGGAAGCCTAAGGAAGCTGGACTCTTCGTTCCTCCTCCACAGAGTCTGGCAATTTTTGTGTGGGCAGGATCAGGCTCCCGTGGTATCTCCTCACTTGTGCCAGTCAGATGAGCAGGATTTGGCCCCATGGGCACTACAGAGCACCAGGGCTGGTGTGCAGCAGGACAGGACTCCATGAGATCCTGCAGTGAAAGCACCTTTCTAAGATTAAGTGCTTGGCAAATGTTCAGTGAGGGAGCACAAATGCTGGAGTAAATCAGTCCGTGGTGTTCTGGGGGTGCAGCTGCTCCTGGGACCATTTGTCCCCTCTCAGGTGGCAGAGGAGCTCTGTGCAGTCTTCCTGGCTCATCTGCCTTTCTGGTCATTATCCAGCCCTGTGTGCTTGTTGGATGGTATTTTTTTGGGGGGGAATCTTAAGATATCCAAAACAGGACAGAAACACCCTCCTCCCCAACTGCCCATATTTAAAAATAAAAAAAACCTCCAAACCCTCTTCTTTTTAAGCCAGTCATCAGCAATGTCCAAAATCTCCATCCTTGCCTGGGTTCAATGAGGCACTTCATCACTGGGAGTTTTCAAGGTTTACAGTGAGAAGGGGATGAAAGTGTTCTCTTCTGTGCTAGGTAAACCCCCTGAATGCCAGGGGGTGGCTCGGGGGCAACGCAGGCAAAAACCTGATGCTGATTGGGATGAATCTTCCTTGCAGAAACCACCTTGGACCAAACTCTGCTCCTGTTCTTATTCTGCACACCCTAAATAACTTGAGGAAATAGTTGTGGATTTTACACCAGGCGTCTCGGAGTGGGATTTGTTCCCAGCTTCACTTGAACTAGTAATTTTTTAATCTCTATTTGTTCTGTAAATATTTCCTTGAGCAAAACAATTATGTTGAAAAATAATTCCCGGGTTTTTATTTCTGTCAGAATTGCACTTTTTATTGCACCTGATCTTGCAAATGCCTGTTCCCAGAAATTAGCATGCCAGGGCATGAGAAAAACAAAGAACAAAGAAGGAACTTGCAGGATAAGGTAAAGCAATTCAGCTGACAGGGAAACAAAGCAAGAAATGAAGGAAAACTTACATAATCATCTCTTCCACGCAGAACGGGTACCTCGGTTTTATTTCCAGCTTCCGCACGTTAGAGAATCTTATTTTAGGACCTTTTCTTGAGCATTTGCATTTTACTCCTACAAGAGAGAGCACTTTCTCATGTGCCTGCAAAGCCTCCTGCATACCAAGCACCCCTTCCCTGCCAGCCTGTGTGCACACACAAACTTCACTTTGCTCTTTTGAGCCCTGGTGGGAAAAACTGAGTTTTATAAACTGAGTTTTGAAATGCTGTTGAGCTGCTTTTTAATTATTTTTTAAAAAGAATATTTTCTTTGCTGTATCCCTGGAAAAGATAGTGACTCTGGGCAGTATGTTTTAGAGCACTATAGACGTTCTGAGGCTTTGTAAATACGAGAGATTTTAAAGTGCACCTGCTGTGATTAAATGAAATTGTATTTAAGGGAAATGAAAGAGTCAGAATTTGCTTTAAGCTGAGGAAGCAAAGCCACGTCTCGGCTGCTTTCTTGTTCACTCACAGCTCTCTTGGACTTTCTAGGACTTGCAGTCACTTCTCTCACGGATGCTGTGGTGCATTTGCAGCCAGACAAAAGCTGAGGGGTTTTGAACCATCATTTCTGTGCACAGCAGAGGACACACACTGGCACACTTGCTGGAGTTTGTGTTGCCACGTCTAGCTCTGCTTTATTTTCCCTCTGGAAACCACCCTAATTTTTGAAGGCAATAGAACAGCTCTATCCCTGAATAAGAGCCCAAGGCATGACCTCCCACACCCTGAGCTGGGGCTTGCAATGAAGGCTCAGCTTCGTGGCATCTATTTTACCTCTACTCCCATCTTTAAAAACCTCCCAGCTCCCTTACCCACAGACACATCACTCTGCCCAAAGTGCTGCAGACAGCTAAGTCCAACTCGGGGCTGTCAAGAGCCAAACCAAGACTGGAAAATCAAAGAGGGAATAAGAATAACCCACTTACCTTCCACGCTGGCCAAGCACATCGCAATGAGGAGCAGGAGCAACGCTGCTGTCAGGAGCTTCATGGTGAGGCAGCAGGTACCTAAAGAGGTGCAGGGGCTTTTCAAGTGTTTAAATGTCTGGGGGGCTGGTCCCCCAGCTCCTCTCACCCGGTCCCCGGTGCTGGCTGGGGCCGGGGGGAGGGCAGCGGCTGCCCTGGCGCTGCCTGCTCCTGCCTGCGCTCTGCCTCTTGCCTCCCCTTGTCCTCTTTTAAAACAGCTCCCGCTGCCCTCGCTGCCGGCTCATTAATATGCAGAGCAACTCCGCGGCTCCCTGCGCAACCTCAGCCCCTGCGGGGAGGGAGGGGACCCGCCACCGCTGCCCCGGGGGTCCCCCCCGCACCCCTCCCAGCATCCCGGGGATGGGGCGGCGGCTCCTGCCCCGCCGGGACGGTTCTCACCAGAAAGAGGTGGTTTTGCTGGGGAGGTGGAATTTTGTGAATAGGGCTGCGAGGTGGGGAAAAAACCCCAAAGAACCCGCTACGGGGAAGCCCGGGCTCCACAGAAGTTCCCGTGCACCTTGGAAATAAGACCTGAAGGAGTCACACCTGGGCAGGGCTGTCACCTTTTGCCTTAAATGTTATATTCTAGCTTGAAGGAGCTAAGGAAAGCTTAGTGAATTAAATGGGGGAGTGTTCCTAGGAGCGTTATGAGGTGGGTTTAACATGTGGAATATTTCAGGAAATAAGATCAATTGAAGGTTGTTTAACGACCACTGAACCGTGTTCTGCTCCGTAAAGAGCGAGGGGTGACACGCAGGAGCTTCATGGATGTAGATACATGTTCCTGCTCCCCTGTGGAGTCGGTTCCTGATTTCAGCAACAGCTAAAACAGCGTCTTTAAATCTGAGTCCGGATTTGTGTCTGTGTAACTGAAGCGGGTGAAGATCAGAGCCGGGTCTCTAATCTCTTTCATGGGAACGTGTTCAGAACACAGGGCAGACAAACGCGTCCCCAGCTCCTGGTTCACCTCGGCCCCTCTGCCCACGGTCCCTGCTCTCACACCCATCCACCTTACCGCTCCCGACCCAGCCCAACCACCTTCCAGCTCGGGCAGCGCCTGGGAAGGACGCGCCGGGCGCTCCCAGCTCCGCTCGCAGCTGAAGCTTCGCACCCGGCCCCGTCCGTGGGGGCCCCGTCCGTGGG